AAATATAACCTTCACTAATGTTACTAATATTTTACCACTAAAAACATTACTTTTTATAATCCCCACTATGTAGTCTTTTAATGACATGTTAATATCATCATAGTTTTAGCAAATATTTAACATTTTTGGAAAAAACAGTCCAAGTTTAATTTTTGTTCAAAATCGTATAGATAGAACTTACATGGTTCTCTAGTGGAATATCTGACATCTCTAAGTTACTTTTAAAACTAAGGAAAAAAATAATAGCCAGCACCTATAGAATGCTTACTTCTATCAGGAACCATGCCAAGCACTTTGAGTTGTATTAAATCTCGCAATAACTGTATCAAGGAGGTGCAAACATCTTTGACTTAGAGTTGGCAAGTGAGGCTTAAATGAAGTAACCTGACCCCAAGGCAACGGTGCGATCTTCGGGGTAAGTCCAGCTCTAGGCAGGTGCCCAGGCAATGCTATTCGGAGAATGGCCTATCTCACTGTGAAACAGAGATTAAGGAGCAATAGTGGGAATTCTCTTTGACACGCTTTTGTAATAAGCATTCCAGTGGACATTAGGTTCCTGTCATGAGCTGACCTATGTCCCCTCAAAATTCATATTTTGGAGGCCTAAGCCGCAGGTGCCTCAGAATGTGACCCTACTTTAAAGAACAGGGGTTTTAAAGAGGTAATTCACTTAAAATGAGGTCATTAGGGTGGGTCCTAGTCCAATATGACTGGTGTCCCTATAAGAAGAAATCTGGACATAGACACACACAGAGAGGAGACGACGGAAAGACACAGAGACAAGGTGGCCATCTACAAGCCAAGGAGAGAGGCCTCAGGAGAAACCAACCCTGCTGACACCTTGCTCTCGGACTTCCAGCCTCCAGAATTTTGAGAAAATAAATTTGTGTTGTTTAAGCCACCCCCTCTGGGGAACTTTGCTATGACAGCCCTAGCAAACTAAAACGGCTCCTAAATCATGCCTGCTTGCACTCCACAGAGCTCAGAGTTCAGTGACAGTCAGGAACAGTGGCAGGGCTCACCCACGCCATTTTTTGACTGTCAATGACATCTGTTCAAATAAATTTATGTTCCCATCTCACTAGGCAAGAACAAAAATTTGTGCATGAATATGTAGAGAATAAGTAGGAGGGAAACAGGAGTGAGTTCAAGCACAGACATTTTATACCCCTCCTCCTCTACCCCCAGAAGGTAAGATGCTCCCATGGGAAAAGGCACCTAAAGTGATTCTCTCAGTTCTAATACATACCAGGAGCACACCTCCCATCAGCCAAGCTGATGGTGTGGCCAGAGCAAGAGCTTTAACGGGGCACAGGGAGGGGAGAGGAGGAGTTGAGGCATCCCAGGACAGAGGATGAAGAAAGGGAAGGAGAGAAGAGTAAGACGGATGCTCAGAGGGCAAGGAGCTGGGGGTGGAGTGACACACCAGGGTGGAGCTGCAGCTCTCTCTGTGGGTGAGGGAAACAAGAGCAGCAGAGGGCCCAGAAAAGATTTTCCTTGCTTCCTCCCCACTCCCTTTCTTAACAGTCAAATCTTATATGAGTGATGTGACAAGAGAAAAAAAAGGTAGAGAGATTAGGAGAGAAAAATTGAGATACTTTCCCTGCCCTTCTTTCCTTTTTTTTAATATTTTCTTTCTCCAGTTCACTCTATTCCCCACCTCTCCCTCTTCCAATTCATCCTACATAACAGGTACCCTCACTGCCTACCAACCACTTGTTTTTGGTCCAAAGAAAGGCAGGCAGTGCAAGAAGGGCAAGTACACACAAACGGGGACTGACCACAGAGATGACCATACTCTCACAGTATCATAAACTCATCAACCAGTAACATATTTGTCAGTCTCCCGTGGTTGTAGAGAACATCAGATCTTAGTTGGTTTGAGGGCTGAAGTTGGTTTGAGTATCACATAAGAGCAAAAATTCTGTCCTGCTTACACAGAAACAGAGAAAGCCAAAAAGAAGAGAAGAATAAAGGAGATGTACAGGGAGAAGTGGTGGTCAGATACCACTTGCCCCCCCAAAAAGTACTCTCAGATCTCATACAGTGTCCACTTCTTGGTTTTGGTCCCTTAGGTTCCTTATAAAAATCTGGTTTTGCATAAGCTGATAGGTTTGTATCTGCAACAAAAGAGTCTTGATAAAATAGTGATTTATAATTTATTAAGCATTATCAGGTATATTTATCTCATTTGAGACTCACCTCACCCTTGGGGAAAAAAAGAGGGCAGTTATTTTTACTCGTTTGACTGCTTACGAAGTAGAGGCTCAGGGACACTGTGGCCCCAAAGAACCCTTCCTGAAAGGCACGCCCCAGTGAAGTCCTTCATGCCGGCTCTGGGCTTGGCTGTGTGATTTCCTGTAGCCAACGTGATATTAGCAAGCTCAGTGACACAAGCAGAGGCTTGATAAGCCCTTGCACAGTGGGACTTGTCTTCTAGTCACCACCCTGACAGGATATCCAGGCATCAAGGAGCGAGACTGAGTGAGACTGAGGACGCAAAGTAGAAGCCTTGTAAGATGAGATACATGGAGAGAGACACTACATGAAAGAAAACTGAGACACCCCAGGCAAACCCCCAGCTCAGCGCTGCCATGTGAAATGACCCAGCCAACAGAAGAGAGAAGAGCCTCTCCGCCAATCCACAGACTCGTGAGATGTTATACACTGTTGTTGTTTTAGGGCGTTAGCTTTTGGGGTAGCTTGTCACACAGCAATAGACAAATGAAATGGATGGTAAGCAACTTCCCCTATGTCTCAAAGCTAATAAATAAAGCTGGAATCCAGGTCTCCTGACTGATTTCAGTGATTTATTCACTGCTCCAAGATGAGAGTGAAATTGAAGAAAAATAAATCAAAAGTTTCATACACTTCATTTAAACAATAGAAAATGAATTTTAACTCAGAACACTCAGAAATTATCCTGTCAGTATGTAAATGAATTAACAACATATGTAAATGTGGACAGGTGGGAGAGTTACTAAAATACTTAGCTTGGTTATACAATGTCTTTTCTACTCTGTATTGAAAGAATTAAAAAACTACCAAAGACAGAATATACAACAATGCTCATGGCAGTATTATTTCTAATAACAAAAAAGAAACCATCCCCCAGGGGCCAGGTCCTGGCCAAGTGGTTAAGTTTGTGTGCTCTGCTTCAGCGGCCCAGGGTTCACAGGTTCAGATCCCGGGCGCCGACACGGCACCACACATCAGGCCACAATGAGGCGGTGTCCCACATGCCACAACCAGAGGCACTCACAACTAGAATATACAACTATGTACTGGGGGACTTTGGGGAGAAGAAGAAAAAAAAAAGAAGATTGGCAACAGATGTTAGCTCAGCTGCCAATCTTTAAAAAAAAAAATCATCACTCAATGACAGGAAAAAGGACAAATTATGATATATTCATACAACAGTATAAATAAGGAACTCAAGTTTCATACATCAACATGGATAAATCTCAAAAATAAAGAGTTGAGTGGGGGAAAAAAGAAGTGAAAGAACACAAACTGTTTAATATCATTTATATAAAATCCCCCAAAGCAAACACTGGCAACATATTGTTTAGGAATAGGTATGTAATAAAAGCAATAATGAAAATCGAGGGAATAAGTACAAAACGCAAAACGGCAGGTTCTCCTGAAGGAAAGGAAGCAGGATACACTTGGAGAAAGGCAGAGTGAGGGCTCCAAAAACACTGGTTATGATTCATTTCTTAATCTGGGTGGAAGATATATGTGTGTTTGTTTTGCAACAACCTATACCATATATCTGTGATAAACATCTTTTCCTATCTAAAAAAAATTCCATATTAAAAACAACCAAAGAATCTAGCAAAAGAAAATTAGATCATCTCTAGTAATATATGCCTTATTTATAACATCCAGAAATCAACCTAGCTCCAAAATGCTCAATAATTTTATCTTAAAAGAATAAGAAAGGGCAGGGACCAGCCTGGTGGCATAGTGGTTAAATTCAGTATGCTCTGCTTCGGTGGCCCAGGGTTCACAGGTTCAGATCCTGGGCACAGACCTACACCACTCATCAAGCCATGCTGTGGCGGTGACCAACATACAAAATAAAGGAAGATGGGCACAGACGTTAGCTCAGGGCCACTCTTCCTCACCAAAAAAAAGAATTAAAAAGGTAAGATTACAGAGATAGCTATAGTCCCAAGTACAAAGCAATAATGGTAAAGCCTCCCACAGTTCATAACTCATATTAAAATTGATACCAAAGGAAAAACATTTAAATTTACTGTGTAAAATATTTCATTTAGTCTTCTTTAGGACTTTTTGGAACCTGCCTATATAACATCCATTTTCTCAAAAACAAAATTCCCTCTGAGCCCAGGGCACAGGTGCCTGTCCTTCCAAGTGAAAGCTTGGTGAATGACCTAGACCTTTCATCAATTTGCCTGCCCTGGAAAGGCAATTTGCATACTAAGAAGCCCATACTCTTCCCTGGTCAGAGGTGACTGCATCAGGAACGGACAGCTGATCCAAAGCCAACCAGTCCTGGTCTGCCACCTGCCTACCTATTCCTACTATCCTCTCCCTTGTAATCAGTGCAGTTGGCGTATCTTTCTATCAGAGCACCTACCACCATTATCAAACGATTACATACTTATTTCAATGATTACTCACTGACGTCTGTCTTCCCTCCTAAACTGTAAGCTCCATGAGGGTGGGAATGGGCCAGTTTTTGCTCACTGTGGTGTCCTACCAACTATCACAATTCCTGACACACAGTAGGCATTTGGTAAGTTGTGTTTTTGGTTTTTGTTTTTTATAGGAAGAAAGGATTGTAATATTATGCCTCCCTTTCTCTCAAGTTTTATTTCATGAAACTTATATGGAAATATACACACTTTGGGCAAATCCAAAATTAAGGCACAGGAATCAAAGCCATAACAGAATCTACATTTATTCTCAAAGAAGAAAATGTCAGAATGCCACATTAAACTTGACAGGTTTAAGGAGTTACAGAAACATACCTGAATGAAGCTGAATTTTCCCAATAACACCTTCTACCAACCCCAAACAAATGGGATTCCAGGCAAGAAGTAGGTCAGTAGCTAAAATAAAATAAGACACAGTCATGAGAAAATATTCATCAGAAATCATATTAAAACAATAACTCTAGCAGTATATCAAAAAATGATCAATGTCCCAAAAGAGCAGTTATGAACATCCAGAACTGAATACATTACTATCAAGCAATTTGTGAAAAAGCATTAAATCTGAGGCCTGAATAAGACTAAGAACAGGGACAACTATGGGGAGAGGGCTGACATTCTGAAACTCTACTCAGATGGGAGGCAGTACTTTGGCGCCCTGCAGTGGAGGAAAGAGGCTGGTACACTCCAGGAGGGCAAATAAGAGGAGTATCGCAGGCCCATAGCCACAGTCAGCCCCAGATCCAAAGACAAGGCCTGAGAAACCGCCACAGAGAGGTCCACTTACTGGATCACACTCTGGAAAATACCCTTTCCCAAAGAAGCCTATACCAAACAAAGAAATCCAGAAAGCCAGTGTTCTTATATGTGACATCTAGGGCAAAAACAATAGGAACCGTTTCCACGTGTTGAGTGCTGGCTGTGTGCCAGGCATCCCAATCGGGGTTCCTCATCCGAACCATGGAACAATGATTTGGATGACTCTCTTCTCAATTCTCCCAATGGCACATAACTGCTACCATTCTAGACACATAGTAGAGAAGCTAATTCATTACACACAACGGATGCCTGAAGACATTAGCACTTATTCTCACGTGGAACCCAGGTTGCAAAAGGCTGTTACATACACGGAGATAAATGCAACATTAGTGGTAATTCAACAGGTGGAAAAGATTAGCAAGAATGAAAACAATATTTCTCTTAGCAGAAAATTTAAATTACATTTTGACTATTACCATTTAAATTTATAATCAATCTGTAACTCATGGGGTAATTACAGACTTAACAGTTTAGTCTCCAAATTAGTTTTCTTTTTTTTTTTTTTTTGAGGAAGATTAGCCCTGAGCTAACTGCTGCCAATCCTCCTCTTTTCACTGAGGAAGACTGGCCCTGAGCTAACATCCATGCCCATCTTCCTCTACTTTATATGTGGGGTGCTGTGTCCGCACCCAGGATCCAAACCGGCGAATCCTGGGCCGCCGAAGCGGAACGTGCGCACTTAAGCGCTGTGCCACCCGGCTGGCCCCTAGTTTGCATTTTGACTATTGTATCTTGAACATCTTTGTTGTTAATGACATATTCAATGGAAGGCAAAAAAAAGTTGACTTCACTCTAATGCAAGAATAAAAGTAAATAAGAAATGAATTGTTTTTAAGGCTGCTATACACATGATCATTTCTGATCCTGACAACTGTGTGAGTTAGGTATTCAGGGTCCCAGCTTACAGATGAGGACACGGAGCCTTCGAAAAGTAACTTGTCCTACAATGGATCAAGGGCAGAGCTGTGACCTAAAGCCAGGTCTGCACGACTCACGGCCTGTGCTCTTAAACATTCCTGCTACAGGGCCTCTCAGAAGCTATGCATGGAACTAATCCATAAGACAATATTTACATTTTAAATAACATGCATTCTTATTATAAAAGTAACTCTGTATAAAATTGAAAAAAATATTTTATCACTCCCATCCCACCACCCAGAGATAACATTATTATTCTGCTACATTTCAGGTCATACGTTTGTGTGCATACCTAATTACAATACTGCAAATACAGCATTATATGCTAATTTTTTCTTATAACATTTCATGAGTGTTTTCTCAAGTCTTCAAAATACTCTTCAAAATTATAACTTCACAGCTGCATAACTTTCCACCTAAGAAAGCACTTCCTCACTCCTGGGCATTTAGGTGATTTCCAGTTCTTCCCTATTATAAAAAATACTGTGATAAATGAACGCCATGCAAATATTGTATTTACCTCCCTAATTAATATCTTCCGATAGACTCCTAGGAATAAAATTAGTAGGTAAAAACAAAAAAATTTTAAAGCTTCCAAATAGTACGAAATTTCTTTCTACAAAGGTTATAAGCAAGTTAAATTTCTGCCAAAAGCATATGAAAATGCTTGTTTTAAAGTACTCTTGTCAGTATTAGAATTTTTTAATTTTGCTAATTTGATTGCATCTATTGCCTAATAGGATGTTTATTTTCTTTTCGTTGCTAGTAAGATTAAACATTTAATTATAAAATTGGCTGCTTATGTTTCTTCTACTATGATTTTCCTGTTCATATCTTCTAACGATTTTTCGTTATATTCCCTATTGATTTATGAGTTCTTTTTATATTAAAGACATCAACTCTTTGAGATGTTTGCAAATATTTTCAAAGTTTTAAATTTTTATATTAATCTATCATTTTTTCATTATCTTTATGCTTAAAAAGTTATTCCTTATCCAATATCAATAAGTATTTATTAATTTGATCTCATTGTTAATTTTTAAAAATCTAACTAAGCCCACTGGAATTCACATTGGTGTACAGACTAAAAACACCCTGATTTCTTTTCAATAGGGAGTCATATAGGCTCCCTATCTGACTTTTCAAATAGGCAGGCCAAGTCTCAACATCTGCCAACACAGAAGTCCCTGGGCAGGAAAGAGGTCCAGCTATCTGTACCCTGCACTCTGACCTCAGGTGAACAGACCACAGTTGTAAGACTCTACCCCTTGGGTACCAAATGAGCTCTAGCAATATGGAAGAGGAAGAAAAAGTTAGAGCCAAAGCAGTCAGGGACAGTTACATAGAAGTGGAACTGCAAGCATAAGGAAAGCAGCAAGAAAATAATATAGAAAGAAAGAAAGTTCAAGGTTTGTTCTGGAATTTGTCCCTTCATCGGAGAAACACTTACCAAGTACCTGTCAGGAACCAGGCACTGTATCAGGCTAAAAAGATACAAAAACAAAGGAGCGAACAGTCTAGAACAGATGACCAATGGGTATAGTGGAGAAATGAATTGATAAAACTGGAAAAAGTAAACTGAGGCCAACTGTGGAGAGACTTAAATAAAACACCAATGAGCCTGCACTTCCTGGACACCACGGCAGGCAGATAATGACAGGACAAGACTGCAGCCAGGGATTCACTGATGGCATTGAAAGGAAGTGGAGATTGAGTGCAGGGAAAGGAACTAGAAGGTATTTCAAGAGTCTTGAAGTGAAAGGACCTGGAGCTAGCCTAGCTTGGGGAGTGGGGTGGGCAGGAGCTGAAGAATGCCCAGGAAGAGGTGAACACGAAACACCTCAAAGGAAGCTATACCAAGGACAGGTAGAGAGTAAATCAAAGATGGCATGAAACGTCTATTCTCTCCTGAGGGGGAGAAGATAAGGACATGGATGAGAAGAGGAAGAGGAAGCAAGGCAGAAAGGAAAGACAAGGTATACAGCAGCCGGGAGATAATGGGGTGAGACCCTCCTAACTCAATGCCCTTTTGCATCTTTGGCATTTCAAACCAGTGAACACATCAGCCATTCAAGAAAATTAAAATTTTAACTAGAAAAAAAACTAAAAAGATGACCAAGTTTTGTGATCTAATGACTAAAAACAATAGTCATTGATAATCTTTGAGGTCCAGAGAGAGAACCAGGTAAATCCATTAAGACCGAGTTCATGATGGGATGATCAAGGAGAAATGTCTAGATGTAAGGACCAGAGGAGATATTAAAGGAGGAAAAGAAAATAGAAGATGATGAAATCCAAAGCACAGGTGTAGTGGCTGGCCCAGTGGCGCAGCGGTTAAGTGCACATGTTCTGCTTTGGTGGCCCAGGGTTCGCCGATTCGGATCCCAGGTGCGGACATGGCACCCCTTGGCAAGGCATGCTGTGGTAGGCGTCCCACGTATAAAGTAGAGGAAGATGGGCACAGATGTTAGCTCAGGGCCAGTCTTCCTCAGCAAAAAGAGGAGGATTGGCAGAGGATGTTAGCTCAGGGCTAATCTTCCTCAAAAAAAAAGTACAGGTGTAATAGTTAACCTTGGAAAGGAAGGACACTACTGTTTTCTAAGAATGGAGGAAAAGATGAAAGGCTAAATATAGATATGGAGACAAGAAGCAGATGAATGTATCAGATGGCCCTGACTCAGTAAAAATAGGAGTCAAAGTTATCTTTGCTTTAGCAGGGTGAACAACAGAGGGGAACATGGGGGTAGCAGAGGCTTGGCGTGGTGAGGGGAATCCAGAATGGCAATTTGTAAATGTTCTATGTGTGCTTGAAAAGCATATTTTTTTAACTCAGTATTTTCAAGAAAAAGAGTGTCAATCCATTAGTGGGTCACAAAATCCACTTTATATTTTGTATAAGAAGATAAACAGTAAGAGCAATGATACAGAATAGAAGAGAAAACTGAAAAACTGCACCATGGAAAAGGAAACACTTCATGAAACTTTTGTTTCTGGAACATACATATATGTATGTGTTCACCAGGTCATGATTTTAAGTATTTTTCACTATGGACCTCAAACATTTGAACACACTATTTAACTTTGGGGTAAGGGCTCATAACATCAACTTTGTTGATTATTTTGTTCAACTCCTCTATGTATTTGCTAATTTCTTGAAGGCTTAAACTAACAGTTTCTGAGAGAAGCCTTGTTTTTTAAAAATCTTATGCTTTGTGTATTTTTTCCATTTTTTCCTTCTTAATTTTGCCTTACATTTTTTGAGACTATGTTGTCAGGCATATACAGATTCAGGATTATTATATCTTCCTGGTGAACTGCTCTGTTTATCAGGATGTAATAAATGCCTTTATTTCAAATAATGCTCTTTGCCCTAAAGTCTAGTTTGTCTAATATTGTGAAAGAAATATATTAAGCATAAAAAGGAATAAATATGAACATTGCTAATCCTATCGTATAACTTCTATTCCCCAAAGCCTTAGGAACAAAGTCCAAATTCCTTGGAAAGGCTTGTAAGGCCCTGCATGGGCTGGTCCTGTCCACCCTCCTCCTGCCTCCCACCCCCGGCATCCTGGTCTTCCTTCAGTCACCCAGAAGTGTGCACAGGCCGGGCCTGGAATGTTGCTCCACACCCACTTCTGCCTGCTCTTCATTCCAGACTCAGA